AATTTCAGCAAGCTCCCATCTGAAAGCAGTATTGAAATGACTCCTTTTGCTTTGCTTCTGGTAAATCTATTACCATTCAGTAAGAGGAATTTGGAAATGAGAACTGAATGAGTCTAACTGCAAGAGTGTATAATTGAAAATGTCAATATTTGTTCCTTTTGTACAGGAGCTAAAGGCCCTGTAAAAATCCATTTGCATATGCAGATCAGAGAGCCACACAAAGCAAACACTGTGCAATGTCCGGTGAGATGTAGGAGCCCAGAATGGAGAAGAGGTGGAAAAGCCGCCCAGTAACAGCCCTGCAGCACTGCATTATCAGCAATAGTTTTGGAGTCTTGACTAAGTTGATTTTAAATTTGGGAAATTCACAGATTTTCAGAGTTCCATATTCAAAGGGATGCACTTAGGAAAGTGCAAAGGATGATGATGGTACAGTGGGCTCATCAGCTGGAAGCAACAGAAAAAAGATCTCAAGTGTTTCCAAAGAAAACATAAGGGATCAAGACTGGAATGAAATATCCAGATGTACAGAGTGATACAGCTACAGGCACTTAGCTTCCAGAATTTCTATATATTCTAAATACTTCAGAAATTCTATGCATGCAATAGAGCCAAAAAAGAAAATTAATAGTTTGAAATATTTCTTTGCTTAATGCTCTCATGTGGAATTGCACTACTGCAAGAGTTTCACACCTAATACAATCACTGTTATACTCACTTTCAAACTCAGATCAGGTCAATTATATCTTTCTTTGCTTATTTTCTTTAAAATGGCAAATCAGAATAATCAAGACCTTCTAACCATGGATTTTTTTTTCCTGACTTTACAAAATGATTCTTTGCTTATTTTCTTTAAAATGGCAAATTAGAATAATCAATACCGTCTAGCCATGGATTTTTTTTTCTTGACTTTACAAAATGAACTTCCATGGATTGTCCAGACAGATGTTTCAAACTCTGTTGGGATGTAATGGCAGCTCTTGTTCCAGCAATTACAAACTCTCATAATTACAAAAAAAAAAGACAGAAATTAAATCCCCAACTAAGAAAGATGTTCCAGCAATTACAAACTCTCATAATTACCAAAAAAAAGACAGAAATGAAATCCCCAACTATGAAAGACTACAAGAAATCCTGAGCTTTTCTCACCGATGGAGTCTGGCAGTTGCTGTAACATGTTGGATGACAACAGGAGATCTTCAAGCCCTTCACATCCCGAGATGTCCAAATCAACAGTCTCTATCCTGTTTTTTGACACATCCAGGTACACGAGCTGTTTTAACTTCCCTATAGACTTAATAGCACGTTACAAAGTGTTACTTGAACAGATACACACTGCATGCCAGTTTCTAACTTTAATTAGAGACAATATATAATCAGTTTAATCAATTAGCTTATAACCAGTTATCTCAGCATCCTTTTCACAAGAGTGATTTCACCGGAGCAGTCCGCGGTGGTCTAACAGCCCTCCTGTCCAGACAACTGTACCAAACTAATTAATGTCTTCCAAATTCATCCAATCTGCTGGAAGTTTGAGTTCTCCGTCCTACTGCTGTATTAGTTCTTCCTTTGGACACAGATCCCAGGGACACTCACAGTTCCCATTTACTCGCTGTCCTCAGGATCGCCGAGGCCAGACGTGCGGGTAAAGCTCGCCTGCGTCAAACGATTCTCTGAATTTTACAAAACCTAAAATGAGGCTTTAGATAGTCACAGCTCAGCTATAAGCGGTTAACCCCAACAGCGCACGTCTGTGAATACAGCGTTTAACCGCAGCTGTAGCATCAGTGAGCAACACGACAGGAATTCTGCCTCATTCCCTTGAAATTTTCTCCCTAATTTCCTTGAAATTTTCTCACTAATTTCCTTGACATTTTTCCCTAATTTCCTTGAAATTTTTTCCCTAATTTCCTTGAAATTCAGTGCAGCATGTAAGAGTTCCAAGCCTGCAGAAGGGACCTGCTTCTGGACGCGTGCTCACGACACCGTCAGGGAGAGCTGCGATCCCGTGCATCCCCAGGAACCCCCCGTGCTCCCCAGGCACCCCCTCCCTGTCACACAGGAGCTAAAGGAGCAACGTGAAACCTGGTTCAAACCAGAGGAATAAACACTCCTGCCCTATGAAGTTCCTTTAGAGATGCTGGGAAAGCCATGGAACTGCTGGTGAAGGGTATGGCTTCTATAAAAGCTCACAGGAGTGGGGATTTTAGCTATTTAGACGTCCTTTCAGTGGTTATTTACTGTACCCGTGCAAGAGGAAACTAGTTTTAGCCAGCGTAACCTCCAGGTACTTCAAGGCAGCAGGGTGACAGCTTGCTTTTCATCTCTCGCCCTGCTGAGGTCTGCTCTCTGCTTCTAAAGAGGTGGTTTCATCTCATCTTTAATCACATCTGAGTCGTTGTATAAAGGGAAAATCTCCCTTTCAGCCCAGCCTTTGCCATTCCGCCCCATGAACAGTGGAATACAACTTCATTTTCCAGCACAGACTGCGTGAAGTACTAACACTGGGAAACTGGCACATCTCTAAACCAGAACCAGTTACCAGCTGCTATTGCCTTTTGGATTTTTAAGTAAAAATTTAATATAAACTGTTTTAAACCTTTTGTTTTGGAGCAGGCTTTCATAAACCATCATCTAGGAGCTGCTAGAATCAGACTCAGGAAAACATGAATTATTGCTGAAAATCATTGTGCTCCTTGGGGTCCAGCTCCAGGACCTACAGAACATCCTCAACCCTACCTACCCTCTCCAGGGACTATGCCAGCTCACCAGGACTGTGTTTTACCACTGGATATACTGACCAATTTCATTGTGAACAGAAAAGAGGCAGAATAACGGTTGGAATGTGTGCGCCCACGCTCCCGTGGGTAGCTGGTGTTCCATCTGCTCAGCCACGCTGCAGCAGCAACGCTGCAACATTGCTGCTCCTGATCTCCAGCTGCTTTCAGGATCCAGAAGTGCTTTCAATAGCAGCTTTTTTGTTCTACTAACAAAGCACTCAAACAGCAGATATTTGGGCAGTGACTGAAAATGATCGTTTTCTGTGCAAACATCCCGCTTAACACAAACTAAAAGATGAATATCATCAGCCATTGCTCAATGCAAAAACCTAAATTCCCATTAACAAATATTCAAAGCTGAAAGAGGAAGTACTTCTTCCAACACCCAGAGATCTCAGTGCTGGACATTTTCCCTGCAGTGAGGAAGAGCATCACTGCGTGAAAGACAGGATCCCACACCTGTGTGACAGAACGCTAAGGACGGGGATCCCTGTCTCCTGCTGTGACCAGTGCAGGTATTTTACAGTGATACTCTCAAGTAATTTACGACAATAAAAACCAAAAATCAAAGTCCTTCCCCCCTTAATGAAAACCACCCAATGCTTAAATAAAACAGGCACATCCCCGTTTAGACACTACCACGTAATGACACGATCCCAATGCTTAAATAAAACAGGCACATCCCTGTTTAGACACTACCAAGTAATGACACGACGTTTAAAAGGTTTTCAGATGAATGGCTATGCTGAGACTTCTATTTCTTGATAATAATTAATAACTATATGGACTAGGCATACGTACCCGCTCATGACACGATGTTTAAAAGGTTTTCAGATGAATGGCTATGCTGAGACTTCTATTTCTTGATAATAATTGACTATATGGACTAGGCATACATACCCGCTCTAGAAAACGCACGTGCATTTATTTACTGCAAGGTAAACAGTTCACTCTGTCACACAGTAACTTGATTACATAAAATAAATGTTCATACCCCAGGTAGTACTTGCAAGGAATTATTGTCCATCCACAATTCCTTTAGATTTTGTATTTGTTCGAGAACCTCAGGCTGAGGAAAAGAATACAGTATTATGGACAGTTAAATAAAATAGGGGGTTTTTTGTTAAACATAAATCAATATTTAAAAAAAAAATAATTCCCTCTTCACCTTCCTTTTTTTTCTTTTTACAACCCACATCAGCCTTCCAGACAGTCAATGACATGAACAGTATGCTCACTTCATTCCATTTAACCACTGTTGCTCTTATTCAAAACTTGTAAAATTTAAGAACCCTTTTGGAAAAGAAATTAATACCAAGAAGAACTGCTTAGGAGTTGCTGTTCTAACCAGTCTGCTAGCAGTATGTAATTTATGCACAAGGAAAGTAAGAGAAGGGAGACCTGTGGAGCGTCAGAAATGAGGCATCGAACAGAAAGCCCAAAGCTCACCTTGCAGCACACGCTAAACTCTGCCTTCTGCACAATTTAGAGTCTTAAAAAGAGCTTAACAGAGGCACGGTGCTGGGCACTTCCCTGGATACACCACACCTGGGCAGGATTTAACTCTGCAATTGTCACACTCAGTAGTGACAACAGTGGTAAAATTAAAATATGAAGCTTTAATCTGAGATGTTCTATTCTTTTCAACACTCTACAGTATTAATGAAACTGAAAAGTGCAGTTCCCCAAATCACTTCTCATTCATTACAGCTGTGAAAAATCAGGAATTGTCAGGTCACAAATATTCCCATGCTTCAGCCTGAGCAGTGTTTTTCTTTTTCACGAAATACTGTTTTCACAGGTAAAACAAGACTTGCCATTTGCCTTAGCTCTGTACAGCTGCAGAGATTCTTTCCAAAGTCTGCCGGAAACCGATATTAAATATTTCATTTGACTGTGACTAGATCAGGTTTTAGCATTTCACAAGTCTGTAGTACTACTACACTGGAACCATTCCAGCAGAGCCAGAAACAAACGCACCTGCCTAGCACCACAGGACCTTAAGAGAGACCTCTCATTATCTCCTGTGGTCTCCGTTCCCTGGAATATCGGAATTCCCATAGCAAAGGCGATATTCCGGGCACCCAGATCACATGGTACATGATGGGAGAAGCTCCCAACGCATCATCGGAAAGGAGAGACCTGCCAACCTGGAGAACTCCATCCCCCAGTTTTCCACGTTGTCACATAATGTGTTTCTATTAAAAAATGATCAGTCAATATTTCAAAGATAATTTATTTTGCCTCGGCTAATTCTACTGAGATGGGTCCTGTACTGTCCTTCAAGGGTTAAACCCACTTCTAATTTCCAGGCTAAATTAATTAATGGCCACTTTATACTATTTGTTGCTGTAACGATTAATGGCTCTTTATTCCTCCAGAGTGCTCGCTGACTAAGGTTATTACAGATAATCATAATTTCCCCTCTCAACTTTAATTTTCTTCTAAATTCCTCTCATTACACTGATGCCCTTCTCAAAGGCAACAGCCTACTCCTGTGTTGTTCGTATCACAGTTTGATTTGGAATTTCTAGAGGATGGATTATGGCACGCCACAATCCAGACGAGATCTCACTCGTGTGTTGGTAAGTGGTATTAAAAACTCATTTGTCTCTGTTAGAAATGCTTCTGCTGATGCATTTTTGGAAACTATTGTCATTTTCCACATTTTTTATTGTCTTTAAAAATTTCCACGAATTTTTGATTTCTTTCAAAATTTTTTCTGAAGCCTTGCTGCTGACTCCAGACTCCTGCAGCTCCGGGAAGAACTACCCCAGCCCCTCCTCTCCTTTCAGGCAGAGCTGCTACCATTGCTGTTTATCGTGTGTCCAGCACCATTTTTGGGCAAAGACTGAGAGATTTCAAATCTTTGTCCGCACCTTGTGGTTGAATGCTCCAGTTTTCTCAGAGACCTGTGCCACAGCTTACCTCTTCCCTTCCTCGATGACATTCAGCCCCTTGAACAGGGCTGCTATTCAGGCAGTGACAACTTCTCTTCTAGGAACTCACAGCTATCTCATGATTTGTATCATCTTGTTCCCAGAAAATGAACGAACAGAATTCCTTCATTTTTGCAACTCCCTTTATTCTCCACCCCGTGCCTATTGCTCCAGACTGTGCACGGAGAGCGCAGTCTCCCAGTGCTAAAGGAGGGACTGCAGTGGTCCAGGGACAGATTGTCAAAGAAATTATGCCTCTTCCTCACCACCATGGTTCTAGACAGTATTTTTCTCCAGTAAGAAGGAATCCAAATCAGATTTTCAGCATCCACGAGAACAGTACCTTTCTGTTCTTGTTCTGAACTAGAACCCCTCTTCCTACAACACCGCTGCGGATTCACGCTGCTCCCCTGCCTCTTGGCCCATTTTGCTTCTGGCATTTGAGTCTAGTTCATACATTTTTGGACCAGCTCCCTGAAAAATGAGTCAGCTTGGGGAGTCTGCACCTAACAGCAGTGTGGGGCCACTGGACTCCCGACTTACCATTCTTAGGGGACAGGATGCTATGGAGCAAAAACACCGAATGATGCTGGAGTCATTTAACACAAAGACTGCACAACCAACCCACCCCCAACAGAGACACCCTCGGAATTCAGACAGCTTACCTAGAACTCTTTTGATCAAAATTCCAAATAACACTTCTGAGAATATTACTCTATTTATCTACGTAAAAGATTTTAATTAAAAATGTGAGCGAAAACTTTCTATTTTCTCCTACATAGCAGAATAAATCAGAAAACCTTAACAGGGTTATACCCATAGCGGCAGAAGATCGTGCCCTGTCCTCAAGCCAGATGCAGACTCCTTGCTACAGCTTTCTGCTCCTAGGTGACATCTCAAAATGTGTCTAAAGTGAAATCATCTTCATTTTAGTTAAAGCTAGAGCAAATATCATCCTCATAACACTGTAAGCCCTGATTCAGCAGCACTATTTTTACAGATTGTTCCTCCTCGGCTCTGGAGCAGCAGTGGTTGAGCTCGCGGGGCTCACCAGTCAGCGGGCAGGCTGGGGGTGGATAAGGCACGCACAGACATTCATTCTGCCATCAGGGCAACAGCGAGTGTCACAGCACTGATGTGTTGTCTTACAAAAGCACAGACCCTCCCGGATAGCCCAAGCGGTGGTGTAGGTCTCAAAAAGGACGAGGCAGTAATTTTTCTAAGTTTTGCTTCTCTGAACATATTTACAGTTCCTGCAGGATGAAGCCAGTGAGCTCTCCTTAACATAGGCGAGTTTTAAAACACAGTTTAAACACCCTCATGCTGTTTCTAAGAAGTGTCAATTCCTATAGAGGCAGTAGAAGCACCCCTCAAGGGAAGAGCATCTTGATTATTTTCTGTACTGGTACTGGAGAAAATTCCCGAAAGCTGCTAAACCTCAGGGTACCTACTTCTAGTCCTAGATGTGAGCTGGGGACAGGAACTGCTTTTGAAAATTTACTTCTGCTAACAGCAATTGCTAACATTTACAGGATATAATCATAGATATGAAGAAATCAATCCACAATAGACACAAGTATTTATACTGAGATCAACACTTCATCTGACATGGAAGTACTCCAGCAGCAGCACCCAGCTCAGAGTAAGAACTATGGGTGACCTTGATCTGAACCGCAGAAGCCCAATGTAGATGAAGAGTATTTTACTATCACCGGTCACCTCATGAACTATGACCAACCCTCTGTTCTACAGGGAAATGCAACCACAGCATGTGGCCACAATACAATAATGCCTTTTAAGTCAAACTTTAATGCCCCATGCACAGAGCACCCAAACCACGCCGGCTTTCTATTAAAAACAGCGCATTTCTTACCAGCTCAGAGAACTCATTATTGCCCAGATCAAGCCTCTCCAGCTGAGTCAGTTTGTGCATTGACCTGTAACAGATTAGGAGATAGTTAAGATGAAAATTTTCCTTGCAGAATGTTGGTCAAATTTTGTTTAGGTAAAAATAAAGCTCTCATGATACTGTTATTGCAGAAATAATCACACCAGCCTGATGCTGACGCAGAGGAGAACAACACGCTCCATCTTCAAGACATGCACTGAAGTTCTCGAACTCAAAAGCTAGCAACAATTACTTTAGTATAGAAATAAATGTAATCAGCAGTAGTATTCAGTGACCCTTGCTGTCTGCCAGGAGCTTAGGAAAACTCTATTGTTGTAAGGAGAACAAAACACCGATTTTTAATTAAATGACCAAAGCAAGAGCCAAGCCATCGCTCTGCTGCAAAGCCCCCCAGGAGAGCATTCCCCCTCTGCACAGCTCACGGCACAGGAGCGCGGCAGGGCGACGGTGTGACCCATCGGAGCGAGGTGCTGTGCCGGGCTGGCGGGTGCCTCCCCGGGAGCCCCTTCTCGGGCAGCAGCTCCGCTGGGGGCTCCACACCACCTTTGTGCCAAAGACCACGTGCAAACAGTGGCAAAATCAACCAGAGGATCCTTCCTCACAGCGCTATGAACGAGAGCTAAATCAGAATGGGCCTTAAGAAAGTGAACCAAAACTTCGTATCAGCCAGGTTCTACCCAGTACAGGGCTTTAAGTGAGGCATCGTCTGGATTTACACCTGACTGGTCACCACGTAACGGCAAAAAAGGCACTTTCACCGCTTGGGCTCAGGGGACTGAAACAGTGAAATAGGAGGAAAAGTGAGAAAGTGCTAAAAATTCTGTGATTAAATTCTTGAATTCTTCATTTACTGACGTCAATGGGATAAATCTCCCAGGTCTCTCTGAATTTGTGCTGTGGGAAAAGCGAGTTATCTCGACGATAGCTTAACCTGACACGGGCACGGACCCCAGCGTACGTGGACCGACTGCTAAGAGCACTGAACAGCTATCGGTTCTGAATTAGAGGCAAACTTTTCAAAAATACTGAGTTTTAAAAACCGTACTTAGAAGATGTGAGAGCAAAAGCACCGACTCAAAGAAGTCATCCCAAAGCACCAAGATCTTTCCAGAATGAGAGGAACATTGCTGAGCGACTTGGGGCCAGCCGCAGAAGGACTGAGCGCGCTGGAAGGACGCAGGACCGTGATTTCCATAACTGGAATGGTTGTTCTGCACTTGTGTAGCGTACATCTTTCTTCATATTGGAAAAAAATAAGATTTTTCTAAAGCTAATTTGCTACATGATACATGTGTACTATTTGCTACTTCAGGCCTTTCCAAAACCTTAGATTGTCATATTTGCGTGACATTAAGATGAGGAGGTTGTGTTCAACATTTCTAAGACATTGGAAAACAATTTCCTCATTGGAATAGATTGATCGTGATTTTTTAGAACGGTTGAAATCTTCAAGTTAGTAAATTATTTCAAATTGTGCACTCCATACCCTTATTTCAAAAAAAAATATTAAATTTAAACCAAGTGGCTTTATAAATGTTCCATAAAGATTTCATTCACTTTGAAAAAAATTGAATTCTTATTTTTCCAGGCCTTGTAAGGAAAGTTCTGCACTGACGAGGCAGAAGCGGCACTGCTGTGCGAGTGCTGAAACACGCCAGAGCGAGCCTGGGTGGGTGCTGGCCCTCCACCACCCCGCTGCTGCCTACACGTGAACTGGTTCCTCACCCAGTTCTGGCTCCTCCTGGTCAGCTCTACCCCAAGGGACAGCTCCGGGAGATGGCCTGAGCCAGGACCCCTTCCAAAAGGCAGTGTGGCTCCCCTGCTCTGGATCAAGTTCCAATTTTGGAAAATAATTACTGCCTTCACCTCCATGAACAACATTGGAACAGGACCTCTGCCGCAGAATTTCTCTTGAAGCCCTGGTAGACCGCTATGCTGTAAGCTCCATACTGGATTTTGGTGGTGGTGGGAAAATACATATTCCAATATATTTTTCCAACCTATTTGATCAACTTTCACAAATATCTCTGAGACAAGAAAGCAACAGATACTTCTTGTTTGCCAAAATGAATGGTAGCTCCGAAGGGGTTAGCATCTAAATTTAAATGAAGCGAAAAAGTCACAACAAATTTTTCACTGCAAGGGACAAACCAAGATGTTGTAGTTTTAGCCTAGAGGATGGAGGAGTTAAATCTGACACTGTTCCAAGCCAGTATTTATTAACGTAGCTATGATCAGTCAAGGTTGAGCACACAGATCCCCCAACAGAAGCTGATGTTCTATATACACCCTGCAGCTCCCAGTCTTCAGTCCTCCTCCCCAATTCCCAACCTGCTTCTTATTGCATTTGGTTCTTATAGCATTCATTACTTTGAGTTATTCTTGCTATAAAACAAGAGGGAATAATTAAAATATTTTCTCTTTTAAGAGTAAGTCCTAGCATGCAAGAGCACCTGGAAGGCTGGGAGCCATTCAAGAATCAATAAGAATTCCCCCAGCACAACACCTGGACAAAGCGACTGCTTCACGCTCTCCCAAAAGGATTCCATTTTATATGATAAACTCCATTAAAATAACAAATAACAGTGAAAAATGTTTTTAACCCCTCTGGTGCTCTAGCTGCACTGTACTTCTCTTTGGAAACGCCTTGCAAAAGCTAAGCAAAATTTTCCACATCCCAACAAAAGCTGAGCTTATTAACCAAAGCTGCAAGGTGCTGAAGTCAGCCCATGGACACCCCCTTTCTCGGTAAATAGCGCATACATCCCTGGAAATGTTTACACTTGGTCTAACATACTCCTCCTAAACTTGCACCACCGTGTCCAAATGGATTTCTTATAAATCTAGTTCAGACTTCTGATGTTTAGATACAAGTTGGAAATATCCCATACACATTTTTAAATTAATTGACCTCACTGAAGTAAGGAATTGCACGTGTAATTGCAACCCTGAACACTACGGACATCCTGCCCCAAGGGTTTACAAGACTGGACTCCAGAGTTTTCTCAAACTGATTACACTTATCCACAATTGACCAGTTCCCCTCTTGGAAATCCCAGTATTTTTGTTTAAGACCAGCCAGCTGGACCCTTTGAAGACC